AGTAGAGAAATATATTAAATTGTATAAAGTAATGATGAAAAGTTTGTGTCAATATTTTGAACTCAATACAAAAGTATTGATATAAGATTTTACATCCATATCAACTTATATATAGTTGAGTCCAGTTAGCTAGGAGTGCTAGAGTAAGATCATTTACTGAGTTTAATTGTAAAATTAATAGTTTCCCAAATAAAAAGAAATTTTGGAATTTAAATGTTTAAAAATAGTATCATCTTTTTATCAAAAAGTTTACATGCCTGTTATTGAAAGTTGCTTTTATCAGTTTGATGCTTTATTAACTGTTTACTGTAATTTCAATAAGAATTTCTAGGAGAATTATATGAGAAGTTTTGAATAAATTTAATAATTTGAATTACCAATAATTTTAAGATTTGACAATGTTAGAAATAGTTGATTTTTCTGTTGTATGGATTTTCTGAATTTTAATTTCTTTTCATCTCTAACAAAATAGGATGATGATAACAGGCAAGGACTAAACATTATAAATAGTATAAAATTTAAATGCTAACTGCTATTTCTTCTTGAGATTTTTGTTAGATTTCTACACCACCTTTATTTTATCTTGCTGTTTGGTACATGTACACTTTTAAGATTATAAAATTATATCAAACACAAACACTGAACCAATTTACGGTGTGGAACGATCGACTAATCATAAAAAACAAACGTTTTCGAACCCCTTCTGGGCTCTTCATCAGGTTTTAGCTCGTAAAATTCGATTGATGAATGTTGTTCAAATATTCCACACCGTAAATTGGTTCAGTGTTTGTGTTTGATATATAGGTGTGGTGAGTAGTGAGTTTTTGTATAAAATTATATTTTAACCATGTACTGTGTAATCTGATATTGGTTCATTCTGGGATTAAAAGAATATTTTATAGTTGTAGTTTCTCAGGGTTTTTGTATAAAACTTTACACCCCATATAGACTAAATTATAAAATTTTAAGTTCTCTTAACTATAACTTGGTAAAATGGCATGCATTTTTGCTTTTAATCAATTTTTTAAGTTCTGGTGCTGGGATTTTTTGGAATCTCATAGAACTTATAATTATGCCTTATTCTACTGATCATTTCTTTTGTTTAACTGAAAGATTCTGCAAGTTTTATAAGTAGATCAGTTTCTGCTCACTTCAGTTTGTTGTATAGATTAATCTTTGATTCTTCAGAAGAGTAAATATAGGAATGCTATCTTTTGATGAAAGATTAGCAAGCTTGCATATTGGTATTTCCCATTATGCTTACAAGTTTACAAATTGTGTAATGTTAAACATCATAGATGGCATTTGTGCAAGAACTTGTTACATTTATTAAATGTTAAGTTTTGAAAACAAGATGATTGTCATACAGTAACTTCAAAAAGTAATGAAATAAAGCAAAATTGTTGATTATGAAATATTGTAATGCTCAAATATGTCATGCAAGTCTTGGAAATCTTTGATATGAAAAATTTGAAAAATTACTTTGTATATAAATCCATGCAAAGATATGCTAACAAACAGAAATGCTTATATTAAACTTTAATTTTAATTTTTGATATTAAAGCTGAATTAGCTTTAATATCAAAAATGTTCCAAAGCTAATTTTAGATATATATTTTGACCAGCAATGCAAGGCTGCCTGGCAATGCCAGGCAGAAAACAACAACAAATATCAAAATTATTAGATTATTTCGTACTTCTAATCCTTCTATTCTAGTAGCCCGAAACGCCTTCTAGTGGGCGTTCTAGCAGCAGTGGTGTCATTCCGTGGTATAAATAATAAATTCCTATTACAAATAAAAATAATAATATACTGAATTTCTCATGGCGTACCCTAAAATGCAGCCAAAAATGCAAAAAAACCACATCAAATAATAATATACTGAATTTATTTTTAATTTAAATAATAGCTAGGGGGTGCTCCTAGTAGTAGTTTTTTGAATACAGTGACAGAAAGAAAGAATCCAGTTTTTCAGCTTTATATAGTTAGATTATAATTCTTGTATTGCTGATTGGCTACTGTTACAATCTTATTTTATGATATAAGCTTGTACAGGAGACTGCTTATAGTGTTAACATTATGACCATAAGGTTACAATAAAACATTTTATAACAGAAAATACCAATGTGCAAAGTTGCTATTATAGTATAAACTCCATATTTGTGAGAATTTTCTTTTTCAAAGCTGCTATGAATATTGAAAGAATGAATGTTTAAAAAATAGAGTACAGTAATACATCAAACATATGCGATAGGTGGGACCGAGTGATAACCGCGTAAGTCAGGGTATAATTTTGCAATTTGTGTAAAATCCAAGTAAGCTCTACAGCTCTATTAAGGTTTTAACAGCATCATTCACATCTGCAAACTCACCTTGAACAACTGTCCATTTGAAAATAAATTAGAAAATATAAGTTTGTAGAAGAAACTATGCAAAAATCTGAAAACTTTGCATTAGACTTAATTCTGTGANAAGCTGCTATGAATATTGAAAGAATGAATGTTTAAAAAATAGAGTACAGTAATACATCAAACATATGCGATAGGTGGGACCGAGTGATAACCGCGTAAGTCAGGGTATAATTTTGCAATTTGTGTAAAATCCAAGTCGGATGTATGTAAGCTAATAAATGCTTTTGTTAATCTTATCTCGTCTTTTGATTCGTTCATGGTTACAAGAAATTACCACATAGTCTCTCAAGTCTCCATAGATATAACAAACACAGAAATAAATAACACAAAATAAATTGGAGCTATGTGTCGATTCTGCATGACACGTCCAAATATGTAAGCTAAACAATAGTGTGGGGGGAGTGAGTAATCAAGAGTTGCGTGGCGCTCAAACAAGAGACGAATCGACAAGATTTGAAAATCGTGTAAGTCAAGGTATTACTGTAATTAAAAAATTCATAATAAAAGTCGCATTTTTAATTGCTGTCTCATTTTTTCTTAATGTTTTGATTGATTTGTTTATAACACAAGGGCAAGCAACAATAGCTGCTGAATTTCTCCTGCAAATGATTTAGCAATTCAATTTTATTTTTGGATATTGCTTTCTTGTTGTGATATTTTGCCACTGGAGTTGTTTTGTTTAAATTGTATTGTTGATTTGTAAGGATAAAGGAAAAAATTAAATTCTGTGAATACAACAGGTAAAATGTATACACATTTACAATGCATATTAATGCATAATAATATAAAATGCAATGTCTACTAAGTGTACGTATTAAAAATTATAGCCTGTGTTGATAATCAAAAATCATTGGCTATAATAAAAACTCAAGTTATTCATTTTCAAATGTATGTGATTTTGAAAATGTCTACAAAGCTTAGTCTATAGAGATTACATCTGAACTGTGTCAGTCCTGAAAGTTTTAAGAGCTCAATATTGGCATTTTCCATGGTATTTCCAATATCTACTGTTTGGTGTCATTGTCAGCACCACTCAATATTGGTAAATTTAACATAAATTAGTTTATTTTTTACTATTGCAAAATAATTTTAATAACTATATTTGTTATTTAACCTTACAAAATCATCTTATTTTATAATATCTTAGAGCAAACCACATTTACAAATAAAGAGTCTGCGATGTACTGTAAACATCACCAAATTGTAAACCTGTATGTACAGTAGGTACTGTACATGTATTCATAAATTTAGATTTTTTTCTGTACTATATTAAAAACTAAAATTTATTTGTTTGTAAGCTTAAAATAGATTCTTCTTAACCATATATTATCAAATATGCATTTATAAATAAAATACAGAACTGGGAATGGTTATTTGTGGTTTAGCCTAGTAACAAGTAAATTCAACTTAAGTCGCCTCTCCTGGAACCAATTATCGACATAAGGCGAGGTATACCTGTATAGCAAATGAATAAAAAATCATTTGTTTTCTCACATCATTAATAAATTCTTTGATTGGAGTCATTGTTTATGCAAAGACAGGTAAAATATTACTGTTTACTTAGAAAATGATGCAAACACACCTCTTAAAGCTAATGGCTTCTTCATTCAAATTAGAATACTCAAATCTGTAAATTTAGAGCAGTATTCAAATACTTTTTCCAATTTCCTGCACATTCAAAAACTTTTTCCAATACTGCTTAATGTAAAATGTTTTTTTGGAAAATGGGTTGGTTTGATTTATTCATTTGAAATTAAAGTGATTAATGCTTAACAACTCAATTAACAAAATGAGTATTTTTGTTTTGAACATTACATTTTTATTTTTTTATATTGTGTTCAAGTATTTTTGCCAGGGGTTGTATATTATACTAAAGATTTATTTTTTGGGTTAGTAATTAACATAAATACACATTCAGGAGATTCTGTTTTGGATATTTCACTTTTTCCATTTTATTTTAAAATTACATCTAGAATAAACTACTAATGGAGATGAAATGGAACTACATGTATTTCAAAAAAGAGGGAAAAATGAAGTATTTGAGATATCTTAAGTGTATATTGATCATTGCTGTCTTTTCATCACCACTTTGAAAATGCAAGGCTTATATTAATGCAGATTTTATTTTAGTTCCAGCAAAACTTTTACATTTGAATTTTAAGCTACCATAGATTATCTATATGAAAATATACTAATTATATGAATAAGATGAGAAAAATGTTGATTTGATTTAAAATGAAGGTTGATTAATTAATGGATAGATTTTTAGCCTACAGTTTTTTATTAAAAATGTATCTGTATTGGTAACTGTAAAGGAATAGCTTAAATTTGTTTTCTTTTACTTATAAAATTATTCACATTTTATAATATGAATAAACATTACAATAAATAACTGAGTTTTTTTAATTATATGCCACTTTAGTAATTCTTTAAACTGTAGAAAGCTAAAAATATTTTGTTTATAATGTAAAAAAGATTGTCTGCTGATTTAATTAAAGAATAGTCAGAAATGTTAATTTTTATTTCTTAAATCTTGTTTCTATAATTGATGATAAAAATTTTAAAAGTAAATTGCATTATTTTTTCAGTTTATGATGATGATGAAACACTTGTTCCAAAAAATACTTCAGTGATTGTTGCTAGGGTACCAGTTTTATCAACTTGCAAGAAAGTTTGGTAAGTATACATCTTAAAATAAAATTTTGTTGAAATTGAAGGAACCAATTTCAGAATGAATTTATAAGGGTGGATCAATAAATAACCAGCCAATAAGCTTCATGTGAAGAAGAAAATTTGCATGCAAATGCACAGTGTACAAAAGGCACTTTACATCCCTATTTAAGGTCTCAGTTATTTACATGTTTTCAATGGAAAATGGAAGCATTCAAAATTGAGCAGTTTGATATAATCAGGTTGCTAGTTGCTGAAGTTTGTGGATGCATTGCAAATGAAACAGGTTTATGCTCCATACATCTTAATTCTTATCCAGGTTAAAATTGGGCAAAAAATTTCTGAAAGCATTGACAAGTATGAAGGACAAATAAAATAATTGAAACATCTGCAACTTGCAGCCAAACCACAGAATGTGCAAATGGCTCACAAACAGATGGATAATGCAACTGCAGTAGTGATGAGTTTTGGTACTGTGCATGAATATTTTCATTTTGGGAAAGAGGCACAGTGGGTATCACATTCTCTTAACAAAGAACATTGAATTCCAGACAGGCTTGTTGTTGAAGAATCTTACATTTTTGGCTATGCAAGATAATAGTATTCTGTGGAAATACCCATTGTCATCTCTAAACAGTAAAAGCAAAAACCTGCAAACATCAGTGGAGTAGATGATACTTATTCTTTTTTTAATCATCATTGTTGCATTTGTAATACACGCATTACATATGCAAATTCAGTGCAGGTGTCTCAGAAAACTCACAAGTGGGATCTTCTTGCCTTGTAACAGTGTGCTTTCACACAGTTAGCAAAACAAAGAACCTGCTACATCAGTTTAGTTGGGAGGTCTTTGAGTACCTCCCCTGTTGTCCTGTGACTTTAATGCTTTTGGAGAACTGAATAACAGTGAAAAACAGAGAAGTAAAAGTGAGAAGTGAAAAACAGCTTAAAATTAAGACAGGCAATTTTCCTCTGATGCCAAAGTGCAAGTTGTTGTCTGTAATTGGCTCTGTCAGTGTCCCAATGCATTCTTTGAACAAGGCATAAGTAGACTTTTGTCATAGTGAGATAAATGTCTGAACAACCATAATAATTACTGTTAAAACAAAATGTTTATATTCCTTGCTGTTGCTTTCAGCTGGGTATTTATTGATCCATCTTATATTCAAAATGTAATAAATTCAAAGTCTCTCTAATTAGTGTGAAAGAATTTACTGAATTCAATAGTTAAAATACTGAGATTCTTTTCCAACTATTTTGGTGAAAAAAAGTATATTTTCTCAGTGAAATGTTTATGCAGTCTCTTAATAAATCATTTGAAATAATTTAATAAAAAGTTAGTAGTTTAAAAATATATATATACAAATTTGTGAAAATTAAATAATTTTTCATAATGTACTGACTTCATAACTTCATTTTAATTTATAAATATTGCAACATATTATATATTATGACGACTTTTCTTTTAGTTAATAAGTTTGCACTTTATGCCGACGTATACTATTATTAGAACACTTACGTGCAGTGGCGTTACAGGAGTGGAATTCCTGATCCGGAAATTTATCCGACTTTTGTAGAAAGGTTTTTCCGCTAGCACTTTCAGTAGTGTAAAACTACCATCATCAGGTGGTACATAGAATTCGATAATTTAAGCTTTCCGAACAATGTTCCGACAGTTTTTTAAAAAATTTTTTCAATATTGAATATTTTGATCGATATTTCCAATGGTTCGGCTGATTTTGGTTTTCGAATATTATTTAAAGGTTCTTCGTCATAGCGCGTAGAAATGATGATAAATAAATATTAACGTGAGAAATGTCTGTTAATGAACATAGTTTGCTCAAGTATGCGCACCAACGCAAAATAATCATATAAGCAACAAAGGAGTATTTTTATCTTGAGTTGTTTGAATGCTGTTATCCAAATTTGTGGGAGCTTGAGAGTTGGGGAGTTGCATGGTATAGTAGTAGAAATATAGAGTGTCTCCCAAATAAATAGCTCTTTTTGCTCGTTACAGCGTTTTAGTAATTTTGTTTCGTTCCATAGAGGCTAGTAGTTGTGGTCGAGTATTTTCTTTGCTAATTCTGTGACTGGCCTATTATTTTTGATGTCTTCTTGATGTTCATGGATTCATGAACTTAATTTTCTAGCAGTAGCTCCTATATAATTAATCTCTTCACCAGTTAGGGTGTGCTTTTAGTTAAACAGTCATTATTATTTTAATCTACTTTTTTTTATATGCTAAAATAGATTAAACTGAGACATTAAATAGAAGATTAAAATAGTTATTAGGTTGAAATGTCAAGTTAGATTTAGTTGGAAAAAGTGTTTGTGTGTGTGTGTGTATATACAGTGAAAGTTTGCAATCCAACTTTCTACAATTTTTTATTTTTTTATGTACATCTTTATTAAAATATAAACATCCAAACATGATAGTTATATATTAAAGCCAACTATTATTATTAAAATATTAATTATAATTATTAAATTTAGCAAGAGATGGTGCCTAATACCTGCCTCTAATGCCAAATTACTTAGCATTTAATTAGTAGTAGTAGTAGTATTGCCTGATATAATTTGGCAATTGTTTGGCTTTACATAAATTTTTTAATTTACTTAAAACAAGTTCTTCAGTGATGAATGAATGCATTTGCTGCAGTTTGATACAGGATGATTTATGAATTTTGTTTCCTGAGATGTCAGTGACTATAAAGCAAATATAATTAATATGCAGATTTCTTGATTTGCAGATACAGTTTAACCCGATTATAACGACATCGGATGTAATGACAACCCTAATATAACGTCAAATTTTTATCGGTCCCACGATTTTACTATACTAGATAATGTTAAAAAACCCACTTGTAACGACATAAAACCCTGTTTTAACGTCATATTTGAAGCACTCTTAAATTTACAAAATTAAATTATAAATTTTATTTATCAAAGAAAATACTACGTGTTCAGTCAGAGTCCCTTCCTAGAACGATTGTGGGTGGTACTGTCACCACCTGATTCGGTGGGGTGAGATGCGCCACCCCTTTAAACGACGTGACAGTGGGTTAGTCTGCATAGCTCTCATACTCGTGTTGTAGTTTACAATCTAAAATAACTGACTTTTTTTAAGTGAATATTTTTATTGTTTTTTTTTAATTGATATACATTAATTTAACCTAAAAGTGAAATATATTGGACTTCATGTCCATTGATAGATAAGCAAGAAACGATAAAATTATCATCCAGGCGTTAAAACCAAAAGTGCTGCCATTATCGAAACTTGACAAATAAAAATTTCTTATAAAAAATAATTTTTGAAATTTTTAATTACATCGTTGTAAATTTAGACATAATAATGTAAATAAAGTTGATTTAAATATTTAGTTTGCACTTTTATACATACAATATTAAATTAATGAATTTTATAATAGATTCTTAAACAGACTTGATACTTTTATGGAACTGAAATTATGACCCCGCAGAAAACGACACTCGGTTATAACGTCAAAAAATTGCCGGTCCCATGGATGACATTATAAGCAGGTTAAACTGTATTTTTGTATTCAGAAATTGCTAAATATTTTGAAGCAGTTTGGTTTTATTTGTTCATAAAATATCCTATTAGAGCCTTTTGCTTTTGGTATAATCTCTAATGTGTTGAAAATCAAGTTGCACACTTGTCATCCATAATGACTAGTTATATCTTTTATCAGAATCACCCAGTACAGTGGTACCTCAGGATATGAAACTAATCTGTTCCGGAACGAGATTGTATCATGAAAATGTCATAAGGTGAATCATTTTTCCCCATACGATTATATGTAAAAGCAAATAATTCATTCCAACACGAAAAAAAAGCACTCAAATTAAAGCTAAGTAGTATATTAAAAACAAATAACTATAGTAAGGAAAACACTGAAAAATGCATTTTGTAGTTGTAAATATATAAATAACCATAATAGAATAATAGATAAAAAAAAAGGAGTTTTATTTGCACTTTACCTTTGAGATTAGACAATGGTGGAGGTGTAAACTGGTGGCAGAGGAGAGGGAGAAGGGAAATGATACTAAAACTTAACTTACATAACATAATGTAACAATAACGTAAAAATAACTTAGAAAAGATAAAAAAAATTAGTGTTGTTTTATATATATATTTTTAAATTTTTATTCACTGTGTTTTCCTTTCTTTCCTTCACTTCCACCAGCACTTTCACTGGATAGAGGTCGCTTGGTAAAATATCTATCCAAAGAGGTTTGGCTTTACCTACTTTTTAAAATGTTTCTAAAATGACTTAGGCAAATGTCATTACTCCAAGCAGCAATACAGCTAGTGTGAACCTTTTCGGCATGTTTCTTTTCAATAAAATCAGTCACTTTCTGATAATACCTCAAGATTTTCTTTATCGAGCGAGATCCTTCCATGACAAAGCAAGCGTGTGAACTGAGACCAATGAACAGAAGTGAATAAAAAATGGCGCTGCAAACTAATGTAACATTGTATGGTGAGTTTTTGTTCATATCATGGAGCAAAAATATGTTTGAATTTCATGTTGTATCCTGAAAATTTTGTATGCTGGGGCATTCATATCCTGAGGTACCACTGTATTATACATGAAATGTGTTCTGTGATAATTACAGAATATTTTTCATCAGATATTCGAAGCATGTTAAATTAGTAACAAAATTATTCATCTTTGGATAATAAAGAAAAAAAATTGGTTTAAAAAATGTAATCTAAATATGTAATAATTATAAATAATTTTAAACAACTTTTTGTTGACCACTATTCCAATGATACACATCAGTGTTATGTACTTTCATTTTCTTTCATAAAAAGTATTTAAAATTTAACTTTTTGTATTACAACAAAAGTAATCATTAATGCCATATTTAATTTATTATATGGACAATATTGAATATGCTAATTGGGCAAAAGTATTAATTCTGAAGTAATAAGTTTAGCTTTTATCTCAAAGTTTGTATATATTCGACTGCTTTATTTAGTA